ATGAATAGTATATGACTAAAAGTTATCGAAAAAAATAGGTTCAATCACTAGTCACAATTTTTTAATATATTTTCACCTTTTTTTAAGTGAAAAGTGTGTTCGATTATTTTTTTACACAAGATTTAATTGCTCCAAATTTATTAGAATGGTCAAATACTTTTGGTTTTTGGTCATGAGGGTAGGCCTAATTCCAACTACTTAATAAAAAATCATAAATATACAAAGGTGAAATTTTTAATTTTTTTTTTCAAGTTGGGCATGTGCCCCCCTGGTCTCTTTGTCCCTCCGGCCTTGCCTACAGTTATGAGATAACCAGCCGGTCCAGATCAATTCTGATTTGTTTGTATAGGCCCTATCTATATGGATTTCTTGGGCCTAATGTTGGGTCAAAAATTTTATTTTTTTAATAGATTTAGGTGAATTAGCATAGATCAAATATTTGATTTTTTTAATAAGTTTGGATATATAATGGTAGACACAATTTTTTATTTTTATCTTGAGTTTTGGGTGAGCACAAATAATATATTATATAAATATATAATATATATACCTAACTAATAAAAAAAAAAAAATTAGGGGGGCACTTGCACAGCCTGGCCTATGCCTCCCTCCGCCCCTGGTAACCATTAAACTACATTAACAGTGTTACGTAATATAATCGTTCATTAATAAATAAATAAATAAGTCAATAAGTAGGTTACACGAAAATTCATAACCACATAATCATATAATAAATAATCATCTTCGTGATAGGTAATAGATTCCACTTTATATATTTTTTAATTTTTTTATTTGATGGTTACACCACATTAGTATTATTGAGATGGTGCAACCGTTATATCCAATATTTAATGATGTCAAAAAATGTCACAATGCCCTCATTTAATTGGGCCAAAAAGAAAAAAAAATCTATTTTTCGGTAAACTTATAGAAGTGGGAAAAAATAGGGTACCATATCAAAAATTATAATTTTTTAAGGTTAAATTAAAAATTTTTAAGATGCAAAAAGACTTCCAATTGCTATCTAGAGGTACCGAACAAAATATCATACCAAAAATTATAAATTATAATTATGTATGAATTAGTTATAATGTATTTAAAATATATTATTATTCAATTGAAGAATTGCATTTTACAAAAGATTACAGTTGAATAAGATTATATATAATTTATTTGGGTGGGGTTTGAATCAAAGGATTTGGGGGATTACAGGGAGATTGGATTAAAATTGTGAACGAGGTTCATTTATCCTTAATTTGGATAAGTTTTTTGGAATTGGATTTTTGTTGTTTTTCAAAAAATCGTCTGTATGTTTTGAAGGATAGAATCTCATCTGCAAGTGATTGAGAAATCCTTTTTGTTGTGAGGGATTGTGGAATTGAGAAATACAATTAAATGTGTAAAATCTAAAATACCCTCCATAGTAAGAATCAATTTGTGGCCCCGAGAATTGTCCGTTTATCAAAATCCCCTGTCATTCTATTCCACAATTCCTATTAATCACCTTTAAAACTCTTGGTTCCAAAAATGTAAATCAACACCAAACTTCAAAAAAACAAAGAGATTAAAAAAAGAAGAAAAAAAAAGATTAAGGAAATGGAAAAAAATAAAAAATAAAAATAAGGTAACAAAATACTAGTTGTTTGACACCAAAAGGGTAGATATCACCATAAGTCGCATTCCAAGCAAAGAACACATATGCATCTTCCCCATTAGTGCAGTCTATTAGTAAGCAAAGCACCACCAACAGAGGCCACACACCCGCGCTCTCTCTCTGATGTTAAAGCCGAAGCATCTGGAACTCTCTCCACGGTAGCCTAGGGAAGATGAGCAATTTAACCAAATTAAAATCCAGTTTATACCCTAGTGGTTCCGTTTTTTTGCACTTTACCTCCTATGTTCAGAAATTAGCACATAAACTCTCTTATACTTTTGAATTAAATTGCTACCATTAGAAATTCTCTCTCAATTGACAAAATGTAGCATGCAAGCACATGATTTGAGAGTAAGTGTACGAAAATATTCGGTCTAAATCAACTTTAAATGCAAGAGTTTGAGTCTCATTAAAAAATCACATTTGTTATGTGGTGTTGGGTCTCATTACATCTTAAATTTTTAAGATCTTAAAAATTTTATGCTCATCCATTTGTTTTCTTATAGATGAACTCTAAAAAAAATTAACATTTTTATTAAAATAACATATTTTAAATTGACCTGATTTGTGCTATTAATTCATGCAATAATAATAAAATGCCCTAAAATTCATGGAAAATAAATTGCATTTCGGTCATTGAAAAAATTTAATATGGTTTGAATTAATTTTGTAATTTATTGAAAAAAATAATGAAGTTTTATTTTTAAACACACAATTTTAGATTTTCTAGAAAGAAACAAATAATGACTTAGGCATAAGTTGTATCAATTTGTGTATTGTTTTTGTGTTGGAATTTTTTTTTTTTGCATGATGCATATGATTTTTGTGATTAAAAGTGTATTGTACAAATTAAATTAAATAAATAAACAAAATATTTATTACCATATTTTGTAAAAATGCATAATTTATTGATTCATATTTTTTTCGTAAATAAGACTATACTAATGGATTAAACTTTTTTTTATTTCATTCCAAACATGATATAAGATTAGATAACAATTTTTTACACAATGATGTAATTGTCATTTTAGTATGTTTTATCTACACATGTAAATGGGGTACACAAACCAAATGAAACATATTCAAAGATGGGATAGAATTTGAATCCAAATTTTATAATCCTTCAATTTGAACCACTTTACATTGGGTTAGATTAGATTTGGATTCAAATTCAATCTAATCAAATCCTCTCAGGGTGATCCAAACACTCTCTTGTGGTTATGTTTACTACACAGGGAGTTCAAATTAGGACAAAAGAATTATTAGAATCAATCCTTAAAATATTAGAATTGATCCTAAATAATTGTATTTTCATAGTAATTTTATCAGATTATATTATAATTTTAAATAGATTTTTTAATAATTTGGTACAATGTTAAGAAAAATAAGTTAGTACTCCCTAGTGACATATGGCAATTGGTTCCAATTATAATAGCGATACATTATATTTCAGCATCATACATTTTATTTTTTACAATTAAAACAAGACAATATAATTTTTTTAATATTTATGAAAGTATCTTACTATTATTGTGACCAATAGTTATAAACAAAATCAAGACGAAATTTGCAACACATAACAAATGGAAAATGGAAAATTTTTATTAATTCCAACAAATTTTTCTTTTGTTTGAATGAGAAACTTGCTCGAATTTGATACATTCAACTTCTATATTAATGATATACTTACGAAATTGTTTCAATTTATTGACTAACATTAACCCTAGACCATTGCTCCTGAGAAATTAAACAATTAATCAATATTTTCTATCTGAGTTCCATCGCGAACTATTTAAATTATTGTCACAAAAAAATAGAGATAGTTCAAGTGACAGGAAAAATCAGTAGTAAATTTAGATATATTGAGTTTGAATTTCGACAACTCTTTGGAATAAGGTTGTGAGAGATTTATCTCTCATGAATATTCTAGTTTCAACAAAATTAATCTGTTTTTAACCAAATTAAAAAAAAATTAATCAAAATACACGTAAACGGCCTCAAACATTACTTACAGTGGAACAGAACATAGCTTTGATTTCTAGCCAATTGGGCACTGCTTGGACACCAAGGACCACGTGATTATGAACAGAAAATTGCTTATTTTTTCTATTCTTTCTCTCCTTTTTCTTCGATCATTAATTTTTTTCCTTATTCTCCCCGTTCGCTTTCTCATGCCTAAACTTCCGTTTTTCAAATACGTTACGTTTCTATATAGTTAAGTAACTTGATTAGTCAAGTCCGGATAGGACACCTCAACTCAAGTACGGAAAAAAAAAAACAATAAACACTCTAACACTCATAAATAAAAAAATGATTTTTTATTATATTCATTTATCATTTTTCATTGAAAGTACAACTTTGCCGTCAAGTCATCAATTTTAAAATATCAATAATTCCTTAAGACATGACTATATAAAAGAAAAAAAAATGTTATTTATCGATATAAATAATTATTATAACAGTGATAAAAATAATAAATCAGTTATAAAAGTGATAAAAAAAATTATTATAAAATAATTCATAAAAATTATAAAATACAACCATAAGAATAGTAAATTTTAGAGATATAGTGCCAAATTTTTTTTTTACCATAATAAAATCCAATTCTTTATGGTATGCTACAAAATGTATTTTTATCTAACTTATAGTCCTCTAGCTATCAATAATTACACCAAGTTATAATTTTTTTGAAATTAATCCCAAATTTTTTTTATTATAAATAAACTCTAAAAAATTGTATGTTAATTTACAAAATTTATAAAGTTAAGTATCCCAACTAGAATCCCAAAGATAAATTTAAAATTATAAACATATTTAAATATACTCATGCAGGAAGGGTTCTGAAAGTACATTATTTATTATTTTATAGCAATTTTAAAATAAATTTACTATAATACGATATTTTGAACTTATTATTTAAATTACGATACTTTTTAAAAAGTATAGTCAATAATCCCGCTTTTAATAAGGAATTCATTGAAGTTAATAACCTCTGTTTACCACCACCTGAGCTTACGATTTTTTTTTTAAATGACTGTAATCAAAATTTTCTTACCTAATGAAGTTATACACGGTTCTGCTTGTTCAAAAAAAAAAAAAATAATGAATAGTATTTTTCCAACCAATCATTAAAAGCAATGACTCTATTTTTTTCAAAATATCATAATTTAATAAATTAATTAATTAATTTTTTTATTTTAATAAATTTGTTTTAAAATTACTATAGAAGGGTAAATAACCCTGTGAAAGATTTGTGCTTGAACTGCTGTCTCCGCGTCTACTACTACAATAGTTTCGTCATTTTGCAACATTATCTCTCTCTCTCTCTCTCTCTCTCTCTCTCTCTCTCTCACACACACACACACACAGTGGGATTCCCCTAGGGATATGGATTCTTCATTGTCAGGCCAGGCCTTCCCCGTACGCCATAAGAATCTCTCAGTCGATATAAAGGCACGTCCACTTCCTGGATGTAAATTTCCTTTGAATTTTGATTATACACCTGAATTGTGGAGAGACAACGTTTCTGAATAAATTGTTAATTTCGCGGAAAAATAGAGCGTTTTAGAATGATCTACTGTATTGCCCACAACCTGTTTGCTTTATTGCCAATTCCAGCTTAAAGTTTGGCAGCATCGAGGGGTTTTGCAAATTGGATGAAAGCCAGCTAGTTAGTTCAAATTTAAACTATTTACATTCTGTTACGTTTGAAGTGTCTATAGAGTGGACTACCGCGGGCGTCGGTTCTAGAATATTCCGTTTAAATAGTTATGAGAACAGTTGGGTTTATAACACATTCCATTCCCATTTGAAGTCCTTGATTTGATAGAGAATTGATTGTCTCACATTTCTTTATTAAAATGTCTGCTGAATAAATTCAACTGATCAGTTACTTATACTTTCTTGTGGGCAGGGACATAAAACTGATATTATCTTATGCAGCTATGATGATCACTTTCTTGTGAGTTCTGGGCATCCTATATGTTTGCATGGGGGGGGAGGGGTATGGGTTGTGGGAGCGTTTCATTTCTAATACTTTGACTTCTTTGCAGGTTATTGCAACTCAAATTGGAAGTATGGGAACCATACTTCATGCCAGGTTCGCGTAATCTTTCGTTCAGAATAGCAATTTGTTCATTGTATCTCATTGATATTATTATGTTGAGAATGTTTGATTCGAGTACAAACTTGACTGTTACAGGGGGATACTGAGTTATGATATTTTTACTTGGTAGCATTTTTAAATACTGTAACTGCAGACATATTTGCTAATTGATTGGCAGGAAGGAGGAAGGGGTTTCAATTCATCCAACTTTCAATGTGTCTGTGGTGTTTGGTAAACGAGATGAGGTAAGCTAGCTATGAAGTGATATTTTTTGTTTTAGTCTTTGCAAAAAGAGAAATGAGATTGATCAACTAGTTGCAATTCCTCCAGCCAATGCTCGTGGCATGTGCTCGTCAGCTAATTGAACATATGAGGTGTGTTTCAGTGCATTTGATACCCTTTATGTCACACACCCAGTTTCTTCTTTCAAGAGATCGATCAACCCTTCTCTTTTCTATATTTCACACACACACACACACACAGAGGCAGCAATGAACGATACACTTTTGCGTTCTTGGAAGTGCTGAAAAGTATAATACGACATGATTGATCAATGTTTCTTGCAATTTGATGCAATTTTTACCAGCAAGAGCTGCTGTCACTGGTGATTTTGCAAATCGTATTGGGATCTATGCTGTCACCAGTTTTGATCACTTACATTAGAATGTGTTAGTTCCCTAATGCCATGAATTCTTTATGCTTTCTTATGTGTTTTACAGTAACTCTGGCTCTTCAAGACCACTGGTGCTCGCTCTTGGTCTCAGAGACCACTCTGTGGTACAATCCCAATAACTTGTTTTTGATGCTGTTTAACGTAAACTGATCATCCATTTATAACACTATTATTTCATGCAGGGTACACTGAAGGGAATTGTTTCTGCTGTAATTGAGAATTGCCTCTGGTAACTTAATGCTTCCAAATATTTGGGGTGTCTTATTTCATTCTCTTTGTGCACTTCGTTATTGCCTTGAAATATTATCTTTCTCATTGTTAGATTTATTACTAATGAAAGGATATAGAGACCGAAATGAAGGGAATTCAAAAGTTTAATTTTCAATTAGTACTTTACTTTGGCAATTACTAATCAGAGCTTTGGATCCCTTGATGTTGCTGTTAATTCTAACATAATCAAGGAAAACTCTCAAATCGTGTTTGGATTGGATCTACTGTGTATGGATCACTAATAATAAATCGATTATTTTTGAATACCGAAGTTTTACACGCATTTCAGAAGACAAAGTCATGCCCGTCACCGAGAATGCCCTATGTTCCAAGAACTTTCATTTCTTGGGACTATAATTATGCTTCCACGAACCGAACATAAAGGAGAGGAGGTTATCTATTTTTCCCCCTATTTCTTAGTCTTTCTTCCCCCCCCCCCCAATTCCTTTCTTAATCTTTCTTTTCCTTTACTGCATTTTGGCCTTTCTTGGTGATGTGAACCTTGGACGATCGCCCTAAGATTAATTCATTGTAGTTCAACTGTATTTTAGGATTTGCTGGTAAAAGAGTAACTGAGCAAAGTACCGTAGGAGACAGACTGAACTATAATATTTACTGCTCATTTGTAATTGCTATGGTAGTCTGATCATCCATATTATTTTTCCCAAGGACGGACTTATTTGATCCTTGATTTTGTACTCATGTACTACCTTACATATGATTTTGTTCTATCAAAAATAAACAACACATAAGTTTGCTCAGTCTGCCTTGCTTGTGCCGTATATTTTCCTCATGGTTGAGCGGCAATCACCAGCCTGTCGGAAAATCAGAATATATAAACCAGAAGCTACGAGAGTCCTAATAATTCTGTATATACACAGAGTATTATATATAATTAGGAATGTTAATTGAGCCAAACGAGTTTGAAACCAAATCTACCAAGCTTGTATTTTTAAACATGCATAAAAAATTATTCAAATATGAGCCGAATCCAAGCCCGAGTCCAAACCTGAGTTGAATTCGCATAATTCAACTATTTTATATATAAATAAGTCAAATTTTGTGAATTCAAGTCCAACCTGAAAAATTATTCAAGGTCAACTCATTAAGAATATAAGTCGAACTCGAACAGAATCTTATACAAATAATGAATATGAGTCGAACTCGTACAGAATCTTATACAAATCGAGTCTGAGTAGCTGGTGTCGATAAACACCTTATTTATATTGTTTATGCTTTCACCTGTTATTGTGACCGTTGATGGCGCAAACTAAATATAACACCAACATACTCATTGTAGTCCAAAACTCCAAACTAGAAACACTTTTGTGCAAGCAAGCAAGCAAACCAAGAGCACATCTGCACTGCGAATGCACCACAAAGGGTAGCATGTGCGAAAGTGCCCAAGCCACATAGAGAGAGGCCAAAATGCAACATGATAGAAGTTAATTTAATTACAATATCCAGTCAGATAATTATAACGCATAAAATACACATTGCGATGCTTGAAAAGCATCTGAAAATTTGTGTGTCTGCTTTACATTCATACATATTGTACACAGGAATACAATGCATCTGTCATCAAGCAGAGGTACCTTGCAACTGCACATGAGCTGCCTCAAAGATATCATCACCATCAATGTCCATCGTTCTCATATCTTTCCCTCTTTTCTGAAAAAAGTATTCAATTTTACTTCTAACTGCATACAAAGTAAACCAAGAATCAGATTTCTAATGAAAGCACTATCAGAGTTCGACAAAAACATGACTTTTTTGTTATTTGTGAAAATTCATTGATTCTCTATTTTGCATTCTATTAATAAGGTTGTTTTATCATCATGGTTGACAACTACTAGACAGACGTCTAAAAGACTGAGGGCCACAATAGACAGGCCTGACACCCTGGCCTTGAGAGAGCAACAAAACAAAAACTCTCCTTCTATGACACTTGCACACCTGCACATTTTTCATCTTCTGTCTCTGCAATTCTTCAACCAGACTCCCAATTCTGAGGGGGTATGAAACCAGGTTCAGTAAAAAATGAATGTAAAGCTAACATGCTGCATTTTGGAAACACAGGGTCTCATTTCATACCTCTGTTGCAATTGAATCACCTGCATCTGTAGTTCTCTCTCCCTAGACGAAGCAGGTGGTAGCTGCATATCACCAGACATAAAGATCATTTGATGTAGGATCTGACAACTACTTCACCCAATCATTCTTAGATAACTAAGATCTATAACTGTTTCACAAGTATCTGATAAATACAAATAGTGAAAGAAGGTGACCACATTCACAAGATTAGGCACACAAAGTCAAGCCACACCATATATCAGTCAACCGAGACTTGCAATGCATGCTCATGACGAGCTGCTGTATCATAAACCAATTAGCCATGCCACGGAATTATTTAGCTGAACAGTTTTTAGCTTTCCTTTTTTTGGGCTATAAGCATTTATGACAAGAACAATGGGACTGTAATGTACTATAGAACACTTCATCATATTGAGATAGCAGAACTCAAACTTCAGACAGATAAGCGATCACCTACCTGTGAAAGGTCATTGGTTCCTGCCTCCGCAAACTCCATGGTATTGCCTGCGTTGAGAAATGTAAGTCAGCTTCAACAAAATCATTACACAATTAAGATAAAATACTAAATATCTCATTTATCAAAGATAAAAGGTATTACCAGAGGTTTGCTCCATATACTTTATCAATTTAACTAATTCTTCCTGACAACATTATAAAAAGAAAAAAAATCAGATAAATAAATAACTTAAAGACAGTTAAAGTCGAGACAAGTGAAGATGATCAGCTGCATACTCTCTGCACAGTGTTCTGCTGCAAAATGCAGTGCAATGATGGAAGAACTGAGGCAGGTGTAAGGCTTTGGGTTGTTGGATTGGTTGAACCTCCAGAAACTTGGTTAGAGAAGCTGTTTGTAGGAGCCTGAATGTGAGAAAAGATAGGCAATGGTTACAAAGACATATTGCTTTTGCACAACCCATTGAATGTGACAATCCAGTTACAACAGATGCAACATTGTTTGAGAGAAGCTACATAGTTTTGCTCGATTTTTAATTCCATTAAGCTGCATTCTTTTGGGTCACTCTGTACAGAACATTACATGAAGAAATATATGGCTCTACTCGTAAATGCAGTAGAAAATAGACAAGAAGGGGGACAAGAGAAAAGCCAAAAAAAAACATGTAGAGGGATCCCTAGGCAATAAGCATACTGCAGCAGCAAAGCCAAAGCTGCAGATAAAGCACCAGAATATAAGACCAAGTGCTACTGGAACATCTTCCAAAATGGAAAACGCTTAGATTTAATCTCTCTTTTTCCTGTATAACAATGTTTCAATGCAGACCATAAGCTTCATGCAGATAAAGAAACAGAGTAGCTTTTGTGCTACTCAGAAGTTGGAATGAATTGAGTTGATTTGGGAACTTGTATTATAAAATATAACAAGAAATATACTTTGGGACTCAGCTCTGCTGAAGTGACTTTAAAGCGTCCCCTTCGTTGGACAACAGCTCCTTCAGATGTATCCTCCACTGCATAAGCAAATTCCAAAATGCAGAAACAAACTCGTTATAAATGCAACAATAGACTCGGGGGTGCATTTAGGACAGCACATTATACAAACAAATCAAGGAACCATGAGCGCATTACCAGATGTATGGTTAGTAATATCTTTCTTTTGACGATACTGTAATGGACCACTATAGTTCCGTTCAGATAGATATCGGAGTGGTTGTAAATATTCCCTATTATAATGAAAAAAAGTTACTACACTTAAAGCCAGATAATCATTTCAAAGACATGGCAGCAACAATTGCAGCAAGAGCCAAACACCAGAAATCATTAAATTGAATGTCAGAAAAGCCTGTGCAATAGTGATGGAATTAAGTACTGAAATAAACACATTTCTGCTCTTTTAGTGATCACCAATATTTATTATACTATTAACAGCAATACACATAAATACATGTGTGTGTGATAGTGTGTATATATACATATGGTATAAATAACCATAGATTCACTATCATTCTTATCTGTCAGATGCACTGATCCATTAAATGTCATTCTTGCCTAAAAGCTGAAGAGGGAGAAAGACTTGGATTACAAAGTCGATAAATTGGTAAAAGAAATACCAATCCGAGCTGTGTATGTGTATGTTTTTTGAGCTTTCTCCGTTTGTGGTTTAGGAGGAGATCACAAACTGAACATGCTCGCTTCTTCTATGAGTAACTTACAGCAAGTTTCTGGCAGAACATTGGCGATGGACTACACAACTCATGAGGCTCCAACAAAGTTGGTTTGGTTCCGTGCTTAAATTGTCTCTAGTTGCCTCGTCTCTTATGTCTGTTTCTAGTTTTTTTTTTTTTTGCTGGACAGCTTTGTTGTTGAGGAAGAGAAGATGATGGTAAACAGTGGGTAAAGTGGTCAAGTGTGAATCACTCTCCACACTCGCACCGAAAAATAAAGTTTCCCTGTTGAGTTGGCAGGAAACTAATAGGCAGGGTTACAATAAAATTTGGTGGGTCTAGGAATTTTACTTTCTTGCAATTTTCATAATATTCTTGTTAAACAAACATGTAAAATGTCAAGATTTTTTTCCCTTTCATGTATTTTCGATCACTCTCTTACTAACCAAATGGACCCAATCATTTGAGGTTTTTTTCCTCCCCACATCTTAATATTTTGACTTATTTTGGTGTTGATTTAAATTTGAAGTATGATGTATTCACGAATACATGAGCTTTTAGTTGATTTATGAAGTACCATCACGAAAAGCACCGAACATAAGATTACAGGAAAATCATACGGTGAATGAAGCAACACTTGGTAGTGAGATATTTTATAATATTAATGCCAAAGCCTCAAGATATTATTCATCAAATTCTGATCAGCCAGATTAGGGAAGAGCAAAACACAAAAAGAAATAAGCACAATGTTATATTCTCAAGATTTGAACAACGGAAAATTCCAGAACCAGAAGAAAATAAATTTACCTGTCTCCATCGCCATTCATCTTTCTAGGAGAAAGAACATTATCTGGTAACAGTGTACCACTCAAATCTTTTTTATGAGCAGGAAAAATGGATTGTGGCAATGAGCTACTTTGTCCCAGAATCTCACCATCATCTCTTCCAGCTTGGGGATCCCCAACCTTTTGCGATGACTGTATTTGGCTAGGCTGTTCAGAATCTAATTGAATATCATCTTTCCAACTTGGACTACCAGCGCCACTATCATCCTCACAAACATCAAAACAATCTCTGCATTGAAACGCATGGTTGCATGAATGGATAATTCATGGGGTCAATAGACATAGGGCAGTATTAATAGTGGTCTTTTATAGCTACTTTTTGCAATGTTTTGTGGCTTATAAGGCCAATGAAAAGCAGATTTTAAATACCTTGAAAGGAGAGTTTGAGGCTTCAAAAGACCCAAAAAAAAAAGATATAGGCTAGTGGACATTACTCATGAACAGTAAGCTTGTCCATTTAGGTTTTTTGGTATATTAGATTGCGGAATTCAAAGGAGAAAATCCCCGTTCTTCCTTCTCTCTCCGTCTCTGTGTGCCAAAGGGGGGTAAAGGATGGGGCGTGATGGGCTGGGTGATACTGTGAACCACCACAATTTCAAATTAACCGAAAATGCAAAAGAGAAGAAGAAGAAAACAAAGGGTGAGGAAGGGAGGAGGAGAAGAAATCAGAGAGGGGGGAATGGCAGGATGCGTCAGAGATGGAGCTAAGCTCCCCAAGCCCACAATTGATTTTGGCTCTGAAACTTAGGGGCGAGATGGGGTGGCTGCTGGGAAAGGTGTGAGAGTTAGGGTGGGATCCCTCTATCTGTATGTAGTATTTGAAATATAGGATGGGCAATTCAATAAAATAACTATTTCTGTTAATTTCGTCTCATTCTGTCAACTGACAAATTGATGTAGAACAGGAAGGACTAGAAATCACAGAATAGAAAGAGAAGAAAGAAGAGGGACTGGAAGGAGTTTATCTTATCCTCGCAAGGAATCAGGGAAGAAACATAAATTCTCCACGGAGAATCACTTTTTATTATATCACTGTCTCTCTAATAAAAATAGGTCAAGTTCCTATCAAAATAAAAACTATTCTCCCACTAAAATTCTAAAAGAGTTTCATAATCAAACTCTTAAATCTCTGTTCTACTAAAACTCTACAATAATTTTCTAGTTAAACTCTAACTAATACTCCTTACCAAACAAATACTCATAAATCAAATAATAATAATAAAACTACCAATTACACTTCCCTTTAGACCAAAAATTCCTAGTCTTTCGCCTAGGCTTCTAAAGTCGATTGTATTGGTCCAACCAACTAGTGGGTGCGCGGCATGCACCATCAATTCTCCGCAGCTGAAAAGAACTCGACTCCGACGAGTAAGGAGGAAGGCCAAGAATACCATCTGATGGAGAAGCTCTTTGAATCAATAACGAACTCTTTTTCAATTGTAGTGTACGCGCATTTGTAGCACAAGTAAGAGTATACTTCTTTCTTCCAATTGCAAAAGAATAGGTTTTAGTACGCCCCGCATGTTGTGCACCACAATCCCATATCCAAGTGTGCCCTAAAAGTATATGACAAAGCTTGAGAGGAAGCACATCACATATGACGGTCTCCTTAAGACTTCCAATGATGAATGTAACTGGACATCTCTTATCAACTTTCAACTTGGTATTAGTAATCCATGTTACATGATATAGTTCCGGATGTGGTTCACCTTTCAAATTTAGTTTCTTCACGACCTCTTCTGATACCACATTTGTGCAACTTTTTGTGCCAATCACTAACGAACATATTTGTCCTTCACAACAAACTCTTGTCTAAAAGATTTTTCCTCGATGAACAAGCTCACCATTAGTCACTTCTTTATTAGCAATAAGTGGAAGACGGATAACACCCATAAAATGATCATCATCTAAATCATCAAAATTAACCTGACCCATATCAAGAGGTTCTACGATCTCTGTTTCAAATGCTGGCTCTTCAGAATCATTATACACCTTAGAAGTTTTCTTTTCAACCACAGTAATAGATTTTGAAGAACATTGAAAAGAGAGATGACCAATATTAAAACATCTCGTCTTAGAATTAGTACTCCCTTGAAAAGAAGAATTAGCACTAGCCCGATATAATTTGTTTGGAGTAAAAGTATTCTCTTAAGGTTTATTAATGGACTTACCTTGATTTGCATCTACGAAAGTTCTCTTGATCCGGGTTGAAACAGCCCTATAAGATCTCTTTTTCAATTCATCTTCCATCTGATAGGCAACCTAAACTGCATCTGCCATGGTGTAAAGTTTACATGTAGCTAAACCTGTAGAAATTTGTGAATTGAGACCTTACTTGTACATGGCAATCATTACATCCTCAATCCCTAGGAACTCTGATCGGGTGGCCAAGCTGTAAAACTTTCTTGTATATTTCTCGACAGACATGCTTCCCTAATTTAACTGTGTGAATTGTAGATGAGTTTGTTACTTATAATTAACGGGCACAAAGTAATGGGTCATAGCAATCTTCATATCATCCCATGATCTATCAAAGTGAGTTTGTTGGTACTTTACCCACCAAAGTCTTGCTATACCCTTCAATTTTGATTCTACAAAAAATACCTTCCTTTCATCGGTCAAACGATACTACCTGAAGAAGCTTTCAATGCTATGAACCAATTAAAGAATATCTCAAAATTATAGCCCCGTGAAAATCTTCAACCTCTAATTTAACCATTTTATCAAAATCAAACAATTTTAGGTATTTTCGAATTGGGCCTTACGGTGGAGGGACTTGTGCGAGCACCGGTTGTTGATTGATAGCCGATGACGATAAATCATGATTTGCATGCATCTCCACTCCTTTACCTTTTTTATATAGGACAATGGCCATCAAGGCTTTCATATTTTCTTTTATCGAGGCGATAGATGCTTGGAGAGAATACACTAATCCTTGGAGCGAATCTAATCACAAATCATGTATTTTAACTCTAGCACTTAACTCGGCATTGATCACCATCTTGATTGGAGTAGAATTTAGAGAAATTTTTTTTTTGAAAATTCTAGGGTCAATATGTAAGTTCAAAAATTTTAGAGGCCAAAGTGTAATTTTAGAAATCTCAGGGTTATACAGCTGAATTTTTTTGGCAAGACAGTAGAATGAATTTTTAGGCCAGCAGGGCAACAATATGGGTTTTTAGGCCTAGAACAAAGGGTTGAAACACAAGATGTCAGACGAATCTAAAAAATACAGCAATCGAAAATGATCGAAGTTGAGCACTAATACCAAACTGATGTAGAACAGGAAGGATTAGAAATCACAAAATAGAAAGAGAAGAAGAAAAAAGAGGGGTGAAAAGGGTTTACCTCATCCTCGCAAGAAATCAAGGAAGAAACACACATTCTCCATGAAGAATCACTTTTTATTATATCACTCTTTCTGTAATAAAAATTGTTGGGACTACACCATTATTTATAGGCCAAGTTTCCTATCAAAATAAAAACTATTCTCTTACTAAAATTCTAAAAGAGTTTCACAATCAAATTCTCAGATCCCTATCCTACTAAAACTCTATAATAATTTTTTNACAAAAAATACCTTCCTTTCATCGGTCAAACGATACTACCTGAAGAAGCTTTCAATGCTATGAACCAATTAAAGAATATCTCAAAATTATAGCCCCGTGAAAATCTTCAACCTCTAATTTAACCATTTTATCAAAATCAAACAATTTTAGGTATTTTCGAATTGGGCCTTACGGTGGAGGGACTTGTGCGAGCACCGGTTGTTGATTGATAGCCGATGACGATAAATCATGATTTGCATGCATCTCCACTCCTTTACCTTTTTTATATAGGACAATGGCCATCAAGGCTTTCATATTTTCTTTTATCGAGGCGATAGATGCTTGGAGAGAATACACTAATCCTTGGAGCGAATCTAATCACAAATCATGTATTTTAACTCTAGCACTTAACTCGGCATTGATCACCATCTTGATTGGAGTAGAATTTAGAGAAATTTTTTTTTTGAAAATTCTAGGGTCAATATGTAAGTTCAAAAATTTTAGAGGCCAAAGTGTAATTTTAGAAATCTCAGGGTTATACAGCTGAATTTTTTTGGCAAGACAGTAGAATGAATTTTTAGGCCAGCAGGGCAACAATATGGGTTTTTAGGCCTAGAACAAAGGGTTGAAACACAAGATGTCAGACGAATCTAAAAAATACAGCAATCGAAAATGATCGAAGTTGAGCACTAATACCAAACTGATGTAGAACAGGAAGGATTAGAAATCACAAAATAGAAAGAGAAGAAGAAAAAAGAGGGGTGAAAAGGGTTTACCTCATCCTCGCAAGAAATCAAGGAAGAAACACACATTCTCCATGAAGAATCACTTTTTATTATATCACTCTTTCTGTAATAAAAATTGTTGGGACTACACCATTATTTATAGGCCAAGTTTCCTATCAAAATAAAAACTATTCTCTTACTAAAATTCTAAAAGAGTTTCACAATCAAATTCTCAGATCCCTATCCTACTAAAACTCTATAATAATTTTTTTGTTAAACTCAAACTAATACTCCTAATCAAACAAACACTCATAAATCAAATAATAATAATAAAACTATCAATTACACTTTCCTTTGGACCAAAAATTCCTAGTCTTACACATAGGCTTCCAAAGTCGATTGTATTGGTCCAACCAACAAATGGGTGTGCCATCACAAATCCTAACAAGGATGACAATGAAATTTCAGAAAAAGATAAAGGATGTCATTGAAGATAGGCACACTCATAAGGGGTGTGGATGACATATACCCATTTATGAAAACATATTGTAGACAAATAATTGAGAGTTCTACTCCCACCATAGTTTTTAAAACTGGCCAGACATCAATCTAGTAAAGGTACTGGGTCAATGAATCACTAGTTCAACCGTTGGATCACTGGTTCAACCATTGGGTCACTGGTTCAACCGGTTATATAATAAAAAAATAATAAATAATTATTTATAATAATAAATATGTTAAATATAAAATTATTTTAAAAATCACATGTTTACAAAAACCCACATCAAGACGAAGCTAAGGAAGATGGGTATGATCTATCACCCACAAGCCACTGGCCACAGCTCCAGATGATCAACCCCAACAACCCCCACAAATTTGACAAGAAAAAGAGCCACTAAATTGGAGACATCAATACGGTCGAGTCAACCATTACTGAGGACAACAAAGAAAATTATTAAAAACCCATGCGACAAACTAAATGCTCAACTCAATATTCATCAATCACAAAAAATGAAAAAAAAAATAAATGGAATAAAAAATTAGAGCTTCAATAGAAATGGCCAGAGATGGTGGAATTTTGAGTGATGTACCCATCAAGTGAAGGAAATGCAAAACCCCAGAAGCAAAATCTTTAGCCCTTCTTCGATCAAGCCAGCAACATGAGAGAGAATGAATAATAGGAGGCAGCCATGAACAGGGTAGTTGATGGTGGTGACTGCTAATCATTGTCAAGAAGAACAGAGGCCCTAAGGAGTTAGGAGGCAACCATCAACAGAGGATGAGAGAGATGAGAGAGGCAACCATCAACAGAAGATGAGAGAGATGAGAGAGGCTGAGACCGCTAATCGTCGTCAGGAAGAGCAGAGGTGCTGAGGAGTTAGCAGGTAGAGATCGATCAATTTTAGGAAAAAATGCCCTAAAGCCTGCATTTTATAGAATTTCTATTGACCCGTCGGGTTTGTTTAGAATCGTCTGGTTCAGTGGACTTATTACAAAACCGGCCGGTTCACCGGTTTTTTCCCAATTTAATTGCTCGAACGATCTAATAACTAAATCGGCCCGGTTCACCGGGTCAACCCGCTAGGTCGGGCCGGGTTTTAAAACATTGGCTCCCATGGATGTCTATCTATGGATTTTACCCAAAATTTACAATCCCTTCTTTAAAATTGTCCCATTGTATACCTATTACAAGCCGCATCAGTTGGGAAATTATAGATAAATAAACAAGAAATCTTACTTAAGTGCTTGAAGCGGTTTTATAGGAAATGCACCAATTGTCTCCAACGTATGGATATCATTGCGCTCATACTGAAATAATACATGGTGGACATATCAGGGGAAAAAACAGATAACATAATAGACTCTGATATACCATAAAATTATTCTAAAAATAAAAAACTTTCAGATAGGTTAACGATACCTCAATATGAGGTGCAGAATTTGAGTGATGAGCCCTCTTAGGAGATGATATTTCTTCTGCAATACCAACATTATCGTGCCCGTTCCTCTGCTTGCCACTTACAGTAAGATCTTCTGTATTTGAAATGCTATCACAATCCTGAATCTGCAAGGAATGCAGAGCAGGTGAGAAGGGTTGAATACCAGATGCTTTTTTTTCTCACCAAAGAATAATTTTGCAAACTGATTACAACTAACTACATACAAGGGCTGCCTGGTTCTTCAAATCCTCCAGATTGAAATTCCAGGCACTGATTCCTCGAATGTATTCTTGCTGCATGACAACCAGAACTTATAATAACGGCACAATATACATGTACAAGTTTAGTGCTCTAAAATCTAGGGAAGCAGCCTTCCTCACAATCTCATGCAAGCATTCATTCATCACAATATCACATAGATGATAAAAGAGTACACAATGTCTAACATGATGAAAAAATGGTTAATAAGCAATGATGGACCACAAATTGTTATACACATGTTAAAGCAATGACTAGATCCATGTTCTGCGGACAAAGCTCCCCCATTGTTACTTCCTTTTTTCCTCAGATTTAATAGGCATTTCAATGTTCCTCCTTCCACTTCTATTTTGACCATTGTTTCGGAAACAAATTTTCAAATCTCCATTTCTATTTTGCTTCGGAAATGTTTCCGAAACGTTTCCGTCTCCTACGTGACCAAAACAATGAACTTCCTTGCCCAAATTTATTGTGTCACGCAAAAGATCTGCCTTATTACATAGAAGCAGTTATGGCTCTCAAACTGAATTAACTGTATCAGGTCGGACTAAGGGACCCTCTGTTTATGTCCACCAAATTATTATTTCTCCGGTTATTAAAACAGGAAAAGTACTATCAAATTTGGACCCCCAAAAAAATCAAACACGTGGCAACCAGCATGCACAACACACACCACAACAAACTAAAAGGTTGCATGCTATAGAGAGTTCAAAACTTGTGGCACTGTTCACCTGTGATAAGTGCTCCTTATCTTCATATAAGGCCTGGTTCTGTACAAGGAAATCCGCTTCTTTTGCCTGAACAGAAAGTCAAAGTTAAAGAATTTACCAATTGTAGGACTCAGAGATCATGCAAAGAAAATTATGCAACTTCTTTACAAGAGTTCAGAAATGGAAAGGCAAAGCTTTAGATGAGCACAAGACCTTTAGCATTCTAAAACGATCACCTAGAGGGGAAAGGCCATCAAGGATAGTCCGTGCCAGATAATCATTTGAGCGTGCCTGTTTGAAGAAATGATGCTTCAAAAGCTTTTCTGAAGAGGGGCGTTTCTTTGGATCCTTCACTAAGCAAGCAGCTACCAGTTCTTTGAACGACTGAAAAGGCAGTGGATCTTCAAAACAATATACAACAAACATGCTAAGAAATTTCTACAAAATAAGACGAACCTTTGAAAATTTCTTGTCCCTTTCATAATCAAGACCAGGTGGTGCATTTTGTAGGGTCATCAGCAGAACCTGTGATTCAAGATAAAAAGGGGAGAAGCATGATACTGCATTATTTCATAAGACAAAAGATTCTTTCTGTTAATTATAGAGAACAAACAGATAAGCATAATCAACCTTCATTGGTGGGTATTTGGAGAAAGGTGCATGGCCATGAGCAAGTTCGAGCGCTGTTATTCCAAATGACCAGATATCTGCTCTGTTCACACAAAACATTCCTAAAAAGAACTTAAGAGTCAACTACAATAGAAAATCAAACAACATTGACCAGATCAACAACGTACTTAAAGTCATATCCATGCAATTGCTGCATAACTTCAGGAGCCATCCTGAGGAAAACATTCCAAAAAGAAGGGTTTCAAGTCAATAACATAAATCTGTTCGCCATGAATAGATCAATATCAGAAACGTGCAGAGCAGCTGATCGGACAACATACCAGCATGGAGTTCCAACAAAAGTATTTCTTGAACGTTGCCTATCCCCGGTATCAAACATGCATGCAGATACTCCAAAGTCTGCTAACTTAACTGCCCCATTCGAATCAAGTAATATATTCCCAGCCTGCAAAGAGGAATTAGGATTGTTTAAGTGGTTGCTTTCTCTTTATTTTTTCATTTTATTTTTTTTAAATTTATTTTTTTATTTTATTTTTTTTTATTTTATTTTTTTTTGGTGGGGGGGAATTATTGTGGATGTTAGTTACCACATGAAAAGCACGTGCTGACACATGATGAGAAGTGAAAATCAAACACTATCATGTAGGCATTGATTTCTTCCAAAAAAAATTAAAGAACATGAGATACTTTAAGTATCTGAGTTACTTACTCCCTATCAGAAATGTGTCAAAAAAACACAGCACGTGACATAACAGGACATATAAACAGAGACAAACCAAATAAATCTCGTTGATCAAGTAAAAAAACACTAATACCTTCACATCTCTATGGATGTGTCCATGGGCATGAAGATAAACAAGAGCTTTGAGGACCTCGCGTAGTAAGGTAGCAATAACAGGCTCTTCAAATCCTTCCGCAAAAGAAGATTTCATTATATGAAGGCAAGATCCCCCAGCCATGTATGGCATCACAACCCAAAGGTTGTGGCCTGTAGTGAATGAGCAGTGTGCCCGTAATAAATTTGAATGATCAGTTAAGGTCATTGTCTGTACCTCTCGACGGATGCCATCCTGTACAATTTACAAGAAAAATCATTAAATATGGCAGTATGTACCGTAATATTCTCAAGGTTTTTACTGTTTAGAGTCTTTAGACAAGCATCACCACCAAAGGCACAGACATGTGCCCCAAGACAGAATATAAAATGTTCACAGTATATTTTTCAAGCCATGTCCATAGAACTGAGAAACAAAAGTTTATTAGGTCATAGAAGCCTCCTAAACGGCTAAACATGCTTGATGCTGGAGAAAACTAAAGCAAGCTACAATCACTTGATATTACCAACCACCATGGTGGTTTGTATATATAGAAACAACTGAAGTGTAAGAGAGCTACAATACCACTATGAGATAGAATCATCAATCAAACCAACAACTAGATGGAGAAACAATTAAACAGGCCTTTGGTCCAATAGTACTACTTGTCTTGTAAAGGCATTGTCTTCTTGAGGTCAAGGTTCAAGCCCCCTTCTCCCTCCCCCTCCCCCTCCCCCAAAAAAAATAAAAAATAAAAAATAAATAAAAAAAGATGGAGAAACAATGACATAGGTATGATTCATAAATTCAAATATGTAAGAAGTAGACAGATGACTTATGAAGCAAACACAGCTAGATTTACAACCTGTATGGTGGTTCACATAGATAGAAACAAGTGAAGTGACCTTATAAACTTTTACCTTAATTTTAACTCATTAGACTGACTAAATGGAGAAACAATGTAGGTATCAGTCATGTAAGGTCTGAATAAGTGAGGTGAAGTGAACATGTTACATATGAAGCAAATGACAGTGCGCAAATCAAGTCATGCCTATGAAACCATGAACTAAATGTATCAAGAAGGCTCCTACATACCAGGTCATTATTACACTTCTCCAGATCAAGAACCTTGATCGCAACTATCTCATTAAGCGGAATGCAGAGAGCCCTATACACAGTAGCACTGACGCCTTCTCCAACCTCCTCATATAAATTGTAATCTTTTGCATTGACAGGAAACTTCTTATCTGACACTTGTGCCATGATTTCTTCTTATACCACAACTGGAACACCCCGTTACTACTAGATGTCCCAGAGAACAAGACCAAAACGTTCACGGAAGAGCTGAGAGTCAAACTAATGGGAGGCTTCTTCCAATACAATTACATTTTTCTTCAGTTCAAGCTACAAAATTTTATATAACTCCAGTCACACCCAATACTCTCGCACCGTAAACCATTTGAACTCATAATGTGTTCTGGATCCCAAGGGAGCACTAGCAGGTAACGATCCCAGTGAATATAAAATTTCCTGTATACAAATGTTTATAGATATAGCATGCCAAAGAAGTCTTGAGCTTTGCTAGGAAAAGTACTTACACCAAGCCACTACAACCTTACTTGCTCAAGCTGCAACTGCCCCTGGCACCATCAAACAAGGAAGGTACAGTAAAATTTTTACGAACTTCTGCCAAGGCAATAAATAGAAATGCAGAACAAGTCAGACCTGTCCATCATATTTTCTGACAAAACTGCCCACCAACAATTTATCAGTTTCAACCACCCTATATTCCACCAAAGTAGAAGAGCCAAAATGACCAGGAAAGCAAAAGGTATACCAGGGCAACATAAAAAGATAAATGTTAGAGAAGGAACAAAGTAGGCAATTGCCATGACATAAAAAAGTACATTAAGAAACAAAATTAAGCATTTCATTGAGGTAATAAATAAAAAGTTGGCAAAAAGAAAGGATAGATAGAATTGTATTGTTAACAAGATAAATTCCTATAAGGTTCCTATAAATGATATTAGTGGCAACAGCTGTCAAAATTCAAGGTTATTCTGACACTTCTGGCCAGCCCGACAATGCACTGTATAGTGACCTAGATTCCCAGTGACATCAATGGACACCTATTGAAAAGCAGAATTAGAATAGTGACGTGTGAATTTTCCTCAGATTTGTCACTTCTCTACCGCCGAAGGGAGCTGCACTGTGGCTGCAGTCATGTGACACAAAAGCAATGCATGGCGAAGAAAGCACAAGAATGTTGCTAATGAGAGTAGAGATGAGGCAGGAACAGAAAGAATCCATTGATGGTTGACATCTTTGTCTTCACTTCCCCTTTGTTACATAGAGTATGTGATGAGCACCAATTGGATTTCTGCCAAAGAAAAGGGAAGGGGCTTACTTTCACTACTCGAACTAGCACCACTACTGTTGCTCTTTGTTTTTTCCTTCGATTTGATTGCCCCTTCTTTCCTATTTGTTTCTCTTATCCTTTGGGTCCTTTTAGTTTCTCTAATCCTAGTTTTTTGCTTTCCTGTCCCGCATCTATGATATCAAAAAAACTACTTATTCCTGTTAGTTCCTTCACGATTTTCACAAGTTTGACTCGAAACCCTCGATGGAACATATTCTTGACTAATTCCTGCTCTTCCAGCATACTTGCCCACAGTGCCGGGAACGCTCTCTGTCCTTTTTTGTAAGCACACTGCATTCTTTGTGAAGCTTTTCATAGGTTTGAAATCAAATCTCTCTATTGTCCATCTGTTTTCCTGTCAGATAACCTCTTAATTCTAAGCTACCCCGCTATTTTCAGCATCTCTTGGTTTCTAATAGAGCAGCTTTCAACATCTTCAGGAGAAACGGAATCATATATTTCTTTTTTCCTTGTAACTCTTTACGTCCTATATTGTATTCCTTAGCAAATTTTCAAGTCCCATTGTGTTCTTTTAGTAAAAAGTGAATATTGTTCTTTATTAGGTATACTTCCACACTAATTGAGGTTTAAAAGTGTTTAGGAGACGTCAAAGTATTTTAATAAGGTTATGACGACTAAGGAAACGTTAAACAAATGGAGGATGAATATTGCAGTACCTATATCCAAAAACAAAGCATGATAAAACAAATGGAGGAACACATTTAGCATATTATGTGATTGTCGTACAGCACTATAGCTCTTAGTTAAAAGGTAAATTTCACAAAACAACCATTAAACTTGTATGCTTTATGACACCGAGTATCAGACAATCAAGAGACAACATGCTCAAAAGTTAAGAGTGACAAAAATGAGCTAAGATCAATGTTTGATAAAACCAAATACTAGGATTAAAAATAAGCACACTCGTGAAACGATAAAGGTAGCACTGATAGGAGAGACTTATGTGGTTTGGACAGTATATAAAAGACATAACTGCATTAGTTAGGATGGAAGACTGATGTGATATCTATCAAAGACAATGAGAGCAAAAAAAGTAGACTTTTTAGTTTTTAGATGGAAACAAGTTGCAAAGGCTTTCAAAAGAATTTTGCCCTTTTCCATTTTAGAGAAATGGAAAGCTTCATGTAATTTTTAGGTTGTTATGCTTTTTTATCCTTCTTTTTTATTTCTTGGGTGGATTGCCTATCCAACATTTTTTGATGTAATTTTCAATGTTCATAAATATAAGAGTTATTGTTACCAACCAAAAAAGAAAATATGGCCCCTGATAGAGCATAATGGAGGACCATGATTCACATAGCTGGCTCTAAATGGATGGAATAATGTTTTTTTGAGTTGAGTTTTTCATTAGGTGTGTCAATATCTACAAAGTTGCAACCATAAAATAGTGTTATACAGTAAATGTGAACAATGAAACAAGAGTTTTCAAATTGGACGATGGGAAACACCACAATATTTTGGAAATATATTTTGTTATTAAGAGAAGTTCCCTAATAGTATATCTACAATTACTGGCATAATTAGGGCAGCCAATTTTAAGTCATGCACACAGTATCTCTATTATGTTACAGTATGAACATAAAGGCAGAAAAAAAAACGAAAGAAAGATCGGATTTCAATGTTATCTCATGCCTCCCCTTTAGTGTATCATGTCTAAAATAATGTCAAACTTTTATCATCATTTGATAAATCTAGCAACTCCATTCCAGTACAGTTTATTGGGCACTATGAAAAGAAACTAAAGATGCTTTATGTAGAATACAACTCGAATTCAAAGCCTTCCTTATGCAAGGAAAAAAGAAACTGAAATCTAGATAGGAAAAATGCAAATTCTGATGCTGTCCAGCCACAACGTGCATCATATACAAAAACCCAAAAGCTTTTCCGCTAAAAGCCCTGGGTTCTGAAGTAGAAATTCATATAGTCATGTAGTTAGAACATGGAATAACAACTTACACAACACGGTCCGAACTCCAAAGGGCTAGATACGTTACCAGCCTTCAAAAAATAAAAGGTTGGAAAATGGAATTGAGAAGTAAATGCAACATTACACGACCTTAAGATGATGGGAAGATCTGAGATAAATGATTAAGTAAACAAAAAAAAACCGTCAAAATCAACCATAAGTCATCTAAGAGAACATCGACAACAATCAATGGAGAAGAGCCCTTGATAATAAAAATAAATCTAAAGTTAGCTATGGATATATGACCAAACATCTATCCTACCCTGAAAATAAATTCCCCAGCCTGCAACTCATACATAAAAATCAGCACATTTTATGAAGCGAAGTCAAAAAATGAACATACACCAAACGGAACCCCAAAAACAATAATCCTTATCACATACAAGTTAATCTACCGCATAAAGATGTAATCATTCAAGTTCATCCCTCGAGTAATCAAACGAAATTCACAAAATTCGAGAAAATAAAGCCCAAAAACAAGCGCACATAATCAATCAAAACAAAAATTAAGCATAAAGGGATTGCTATTTTGAGAAAATGAATGTGAATAAATACACATACACGCGTATCTGTATTGGAATTTGATCCTTTGGATGAATTCAATAACAGATTTATCTGATGATAGTACGGACCTAGGGTTTCGATTCCAGATAGACCAAATGCCGTTCCGTACGAGAGAACTCGAGCGAGGACTGAATCTGACTAGACCTGATAAAAAAATATGAAACCCCAGGGGAAAAACGCCGTCGTTTCCAAGTGATGATAATGGATAATCTTCTTCTACCAGTCCGCCATAGATGATGCGTGAAGAAACACCAGATATCGATAGTTCTTCTGCACACAGTTGTGAGTTGTCGACTAAGGTTTATGCGATCGAATCTTCACCGTTAAAAATTAAAATTAAAAATCAAACACCTTTTTCCTATTATTTCCTATTTTCTATTTTCTATTTTCTATTTTCTATGAACGAAAATAAAATACGAAGGAAATAATATTGGGAATAGTGCAACCGCCATGCAGATTGTAATGGGACCCCGCTAAAGTGGTTTGACCTTTCCTGGATCTGTCTGTTTATTGGCTTTGGAGATTTAAACTCGAGATTCATTTTCTGATTTGGAATTAGTTTTTTTTTTTCATCACAAGTGAACTATAAAACTTTTAGTTAAAAAAGTAGAAGTGAAGCAGCTTCTATATAATCTACACACATTCGAAGACTATCCAATGTAGGACAGTCTCAGCCCATCACCACATACTGAAAACCTGCCCGATCTTAATCGAGGCTTGAAAAATGCAACTGATCCCACATGGGATCCACCCTGAACACATATCAATTTTTTTTTTATCACAAAATAACTATAATACTTTTATTTAAAAAGCAAAGATGAGACAGTCTTTATATAACTCACACGCACACGCTCAAAGACTATCCAATGTGGGATAACCCCGATTTGGAATTAGTTTGGTGCATCAAACTCGTATACATGGAGTTGGATAAATTTAGAGGTTGTGGGATTCTTGTAGTTACGATAATTATGCTGAATGATTTTTTTATTCTTAATAAAATATTTTATTGATCAAATTATATTATAACCCTCAATTACTCATTTATGTAATTAAACAAAACATAGGTATGAATTGAATCGGACGATTGATAATATAGTCATTTATAAAGTAAATGTGTGTTGATAATTGTGATAAATTTACAGATTTCACATGTATATATGTTACTTATGAAACATAGATATGTTATAAATTCCATGTATACAAATGTGGGGTTAAGTTTAGAAGGATTTAATAAAATCAATCCAATCTCTCACTCCAAAACTATCCAAACATGTCATTTGAGTTCTTCTCAAATTTGTCCCATTACCTAATTATTCATAATTATTTGATTAATTGTGATTGCAATTAATTCAATGATTATTATACATTAAATCAGAAATTAAATCCAAATAATATTTAATTATATTTTTCATGTCTAAAGTTCTTAAATATAATAAATAATATTAATTTATTATCTTTCGGCTTCATATATATTACAAGAATTATTCATGCAATGCTCAATGAGTGTGTATTTGCACTTTGACTGATTAAAATACAAGCTAATAGTTATAATGTGAGAGAAAAAAATTGTAATGTGCTTATAAAATTAAAATATAAGTTTTAATATAAGCAATTTGAATCATTTTTTTAATTTTGGGATTTTTCTGTTTATTACATAAGATGATTTGTT